CAGAAAATGAAGGAAGAATGATGCTACAATTTCTTATACATGTTTATTCAGAATTAAACCCCACTAAATTGAATAGACCTTACTTTTGGGCAAGCAGATACAGTAACTGCATCTAAGCTACATTTACTATCTATGCCAAATGTATAATGTTTAGAAAAAAGGCGAGGAGTCACTGGATGCAGATAGAATCTGAGTACTTTTACACTCCGAAAATGCCTAATGTTCCAGTGGCACCAAGCTTCTCAATCACACGTCTCCATACCTCCTAGCCAGAAGAAATAGAAAACCATTGTAAATGGGAAAATAGTCATTTCATCTAAGTAATTCACCTTCAGCCCATCTTCCAACTGAGTATTTGCAATACAGCACTTCACTGCATCCATGGCCTATCTGAATTCTTGATGAGTTGAAGAGACAGTTTTGCACCTCTACCTTCAATCTCAGTAGACACAACATTAAAAATGGAGAACATTCCTAGCCACCGCTTCTTAGATAATGAATCAGCGTTTACATAAGCAATGAATGAGGCCCAGGAAAACTAACCTGACCTCTCAGTTATGTGCTGCCATATTTGCATAAGGTACTTTCAGATGATCAGCATAATGTCATCTTGTTCCTGCATGAAAGTTCAGCCAGAACCAGTTTACTGATCTGCTCATCTATTATATTGCCATTGGTGTTAAATTCACAGGCAATGTACCAGTGTGAAAGTAGTCCCTTAAGACCATTTCAATTAAATTCTATGAAGTCAAAGACTGTCTAAAATTTAACAACAACAAAACTGGCTCATGGCTAGAATCACAGATGAACCACACACTCACAAAGAAGTCAAGAATTCTTGTTAAATGGAACATTGCCCTGCAGGTGAAGAAACAACAGCTGAACTCATTCACAAAAATGTAATGTAATGAATATATATTTTGCATATAAAGAACAAAGTGATCTGGAATGTTGCTTCTGCTTGCAACATTTCTTGGTGACTAACTGACACTTGTGCTGAATTATGCTGATGGGGTGATATGGACATTTTTCAGTAGGAAGTTGCTCCATACTGTTGCCAATTACTGAAAATAAATCTTGAAATACTTGATTTGCACATGATACATCACTATCAACAGTGTGATATGAAGGTATATGAAAGTTTAGTATACTTTTTAAAATATCTATCTCCACCAACCATGCTGAGAATCTTGGGAATTGTAGTCCAAGCATAGATTTAGGAAGGCTATTTTATACTCCTGAAATTTTCTTCCAAAGCATAAGTTAATTCATGGCGCTTATTTTTGGCTGGAGGCATATTGTTTCTACAGTTAATTTTTATTTTACAAGTACTTGGGAACATCTGTGCATTTCATCTCATGACCTCCTTTTTCAGTAAGCCTTTTGACACCGTTGACCATTCAGCTGTTTCCCCCCCCCCCTTTTTTTGGACTTTCTTTGAATGTTTCCCAACTGTTTCTGTATTTTAATGTCCATGTCCAAAGCACCTTATTAGGATCTTAGAATACAAGTTTTATGACATTTCTTGTTGTATGATATATTTGTTCAAGACCTTTATATTCTCCTTTTCTATGCAAGCTGAAAGGCATAATGGGGGAGGAGGAATATCTTCCCTAATTTTATCACAACAATCCTGGGAGGAGGTAGATTGGGCTGAGATTGATTGTCCCCAAATCACTCATGCTGAGTGGGAACTCGCCGCTATGCTACACGGGCCTAACAGTGGGACCCTGCCTTATTGAAACAGCTGCTTGGGTCAATACTGTTTACACTACCCTCCCACAAACTGCATGTCTCCAGCTATGTGGATCTTGGCTCCCAGCAGGGCCTTTGGTGACCATGCTGAAAGAAATATAGGTCTTTAAAGCACATACCAAATAAAAATACTAAGTACTTAGCTGCAGTCCACCCAGGGTGCATGCTAACCCACATTTCCAGACAGTTCTGTGTTTCAAAGCAGAGCTGTTTTAAGCTATTTCTGAAGATGTTACAGACAAACCCTGGAATCATTTTCATCAAGAGTATGTGCTCTATCAGTCAGTTAAAGCATCCATAAATGCAGGATATAGACAAGTGTACAAGTGGATCTGAACCCTATTAGGGTTGGTGCTAATGCTGCTCATTTACTATTGCCACTTATCTCAGTTGCACACTTTACCATAAATGTATGTGGGGGGAAATTCTTTTTGTGATCAGGTCAGTTTTGTTACCTCTCATACTGCAGCTTTCAATTTTCTGGAAAGATTAGCAGACAGTGTGCAAATGTGAGTTGGACTGAGATTCTTTTCTTTTTTTTTTAAATGGAGAGACAGGTTTTAATAAACCCATTTTAGGACTTCCGGGGGAGGTATGGCAAACTGAAGATGGCTCCTTGGAACCTTCCCAGATAAGGAGAGGATGGGAGATTGTCCACATGTGCTCTGGATGGCTGCTCCTCGCTAGACCACAAGATAGCAGTTTCTGTGGATTTGAGCCCTGGGAGATGACGGGATCAGCCACCTTCCTCGCAGTTACAACACAGCCTTTTAAAGGACACTAAATTTGCAAACCTCACTCTCTAATCACTTTTGGAAATTGCCTATTGACCATCTTAAAGCTATTAGAGATCTTTGGAATGACAAGTTTGAAAAGTCTTCACCGGGTGAGTTTATCTTCAACTCTGAACAAAAGAAAAATTAATTATAAGAACTTAAAGAATTTGAAATAAACAGCAAAAAGCTAAATAAGATTTTGATCTACAAAAGTTATAAGTGGATTAAGGGTCCAGATAAATTTGGAATATTCACTATTACTATAAGATATTGGAATTAACTATAAAAAATAAATAGCTTGTTGTGGGAAACAGACTTATTTTGACTATACTGGCAATTGCATGTCATAACAAAAGATAAATGATGATTTTAGAAACTGGACATTAGAGGGGACTAAAGATTCTAAGCAGAAGAAAAAAATACGAGCCTGTTCTTGACGTCCGTTACAAAATTACACAAAACGTTATAACATCGGAAATATTAAAGGAGATCTTTGAAGAATGGAGCCAGAAATTAGTAACTACAATATCAACGCTGTCAGTAATGATGTCTGCTTCTATGGATAGACTATGTCTAAAAAATGTTAATGTGGAGCAAATTTTATCTGACAAGGCAGAGAAAGTACCGAAAGTGGAACTACAAATGACAGGCCAAGATAATGATTTGGAAAAGGACGCTTTACTGGATGTACAAAAG